GTGTGATTTGACACAATCAATGAAATAATCCCTTTTACTGCCTGAGATGCTTTCAGTTTGAGGATTTAATCACAATAGCATAAAAGCAGGTTAGCACAAACAATTACAACACAAAAGTTGATTTTGTTTGTCAGTATAATATAGGAATGATGACTTTTGCCACAATGTGGAAGATATCAAGTTTTTTTTTAAATTTTTCCATTTAATTATTTACACCTCCTTCCCTCTTCCCTATCCCCTCCAACTCCTCCACACCCTCTCCTCCCTCTTCCTACCTGCTTGAGAGAGGGCAGGCAACCCTGCCCTTTGGGAAGTCCAAGGTCGTCCCCCCTACATCCAGGCCTAGGGACCTGTGCATCCATATAGACTAGGGTCCCAAAAAGCCAGAGCATGTGGTAAAAATAAGTTCCATTGCTTTTTTCAATGGCTTCTCAGTCAGCCCCCATTGTCAGCCACAATCAAAGAGTCTGGTTTGATTACATGCTCATTCGGACCCGGTCCAACTAGACTTGGTGTGCTCACAGTAGAACAGAAAGTGTAGAATACATATGCATTAGAGTACGACTCAGCGGTAAAAAACAAAAACAAAAACAAAAACAAGGACATCTTGAATTTTGCTTGCAAATGGATGGAAATAGAAAACACTATCCTGAGTGAGATAACCCAGACCCAAAAAGATGAATATGGTACTCACTCATTTGTGGACTCTAGCCATAAACCATGGTCATTAAGGCTATAGGTCACAAGCCTAGAGAAGCCAAATAACAAGGTGAACCCAAAGAAAAATATTTATAGATCCTACTGGAAATTGGAAGCAAACAAGATTGCAGGGCAAAAGTTGTGACCATGGGGGAGGGGACAGGCATGGGAGTGAGGTTGGGGGAAAGGGGAGACGGGGAGAGGGAAGGGAGAAGGGAAGGACTGCCAATAGCTTATGGGAGGTGGAGGGTGGAGATGGAGGAAGGGCTGATGTAGGAGCAGGGAAGAAGATAGCTACATTAAAGCATCCATTTTAAAGTTGGCAAGTGACTTGGCTCTAGAGGGGATCCCTGGTGTCCATTGGGATGTCCCCAGCTAGGGCCTGAACAGCAGGGGAGAGGGTGGCTGAACAGTCCTTGCCCCACAGTAATGCTGATGATTATCTTGAATATCACCATGGAATCTTCATCCAACAATGGATGGAGATAGAGACAGAGACCCACATCAGAGGAATGGACTGAGCTCCCAAGGTCCTGTTGAAAGGCAGAAGGAGGGAGAAGATGAGCAAAGAAGTCAGGACCATGAGGGGTTCGTCTACCAACTGAGGCAGATATCAAGATTTTTATGTGACAAAAAATAGAAACTTGAACATAATTAACTGTTCTTGTAAGACCAAGAAAATGAAAAGGTAATGGCAGAAAGTGGGTATTGAGATCATAGAATTTCAGTTGAAAATAAACTTGATTAAAAAAACCCAAGCACACCGGGCAGTGGTAACACACGCCTTCAATCCCAGCACTTGGGAGGCAGAGGGAGGTAGATCTCTGTGAGTTCGAGACCAGCCTGTTCTACAAGAGCTAGTTCCAGGACAGGCTCTAAAGCTACAGAGAAACCCTGTCCCAAAGAACAAAAAGAACAAACAAACAAAAAATACCAAATCTGAAGTCTTTTGTCTGTTTTTTTTTTGTTTGTTTGTTTTGTTTTGTTTTTTGTTTTCCAAGACAGGGATTCCCAGTGTAACAGTCCTACCTGTCCTGGAACAACTGGAACTAGCTCTTGTAGACCAGGCTGGCCTCAAACTCAGAGGGATTCACCTGCCTCTGCCTCCCCAGTGCTGGGGTTAAAGTTGTGTGTCGCCACCATCCAGACTTTTGTGGATATTTTAGCTCCAAATTTTTTTTATTCTGCCTATGCTCTAGAAATTTAGTAATGCCAAATTAAAATGTAATGGGCTAATGTCTTTAATGGAATATTGAAGATGTTCAATGGTTATCACTGATGACTCTTTTAGGTGTAGAGTAAAAGTACCCAGGTAGGGCAGAAATAAATGAAAATAAAAATGTAGCTTCAAAGGGCTTTATGTGTTAATACAGGCAGGAATTTTCAAAGAGTTTATTATCATTACAGAAAAGCCATTACTGTGCAGTGGAAGCTTATCAAGGTGCCCTAAGGGTAAGACTCCAAATACAGAAACCTTCAATTTAGGGATGGTTGAGCAAATTGATTCATAGACACAGGAAGCTACTTCATTCAAAACCTTCTGCACCTGTGGTCAAGCTCATTAGTGTTCATTGCATTAAAGAAAACCCTGCTTCTCAGCATCACCAGTAATGTGTTGGTCTTGGGAACATGAAAGAATCAAAATTTAAGATCATGGCTTTTTAGCCCATGGTTACAGTTTACCATTATTGCAGGCATCTGTGTTTGGCAGAGACAGAAGCCCAGTGAGGAGACAGTGAGAGTTCATTGCATGAAGCTGTGAGGATTGAAGCTGGGTATGGTGTGGTTTCTTTTCCTCTCTTGTTCCTTTAGGGCCTGCCACCAGTTGTCAATTAAATTTCACACATGGAGGCTTATTTTTTTTCTTATAAATGCTTGACTTTGGTTTGTTTCAAGGCAGGTTGTTTTTAACTTAATTGTTCTCTCTACAATTTCCCCCTGGCCTTTATCTTTATTCTGTATTCCTCTCTTTGTTTCTTACTCCATGGCTTGCTGTGTAGCTGTATTAAAGGCTCCTGTTATTCTCTCCTTTTGTTGCCTCTTCTTTCTGTTTTCCTCCCAGATTTTCCCTCCCATTGATTCTCTTTTCCTGGCAGCCCTGCCTGTCCTTTCTTGTCATGTGACAGGTCATTCAATTGTTTTAGAATAACCAGTTATTTTAGATAGGCAAACTGTCACAGCTTCACAGAGCTAAACCAATGCAGCAATTCTTTGCATCATTAAAACAAACGTTCCACAGCAAAAATAAATATAACACATTTAAAAATGTGATTTCACAACACAGTGGTTTCCATTTTGAGCCCAAAGATGTTAAAATACCTAAGGTATGACACAACTTCCATGGAGAACTAGCCACATATAGTGATGGGAAGTTACCAAAGAGAGAAGTGCAGGAGAACTTGCAAGGACAAGGCCGTTTAAGTCATTTGAAACTGAAGCCATACATCTGACAAGGGAGCTACAGGATTTGATGTTTATCCTGCTCAGCTTCAGTCTTGCCTTGGTTGAATCTTCCCTCACTGTGTCTTTATTTTTCTCTTTTGGAATGTTAATGGGATTTTGTACCATTGATGTTAGAAGGAGGTAACGTGTTTTTGGGTTTTATAAGATGTTGCTGTGAACAGATTATCTTGAGTGCCAGATGGCATTACACATTTGGACAGTGTAGGGACCATTGCAGATGAGGATCATTAAATGTCTATCCTTGAAATGACAAAATGCAATTTTTCCATTGTTGACCATGAACCAATAGTGGCTGGGGTCAGAATGAACTTGATTGAATGAACAACCTCCCAGAAAAGATCACATATTTGAACAAGTTTCTCTCCTTGATGGCTTTCTTTCAACTTCCTGTAAATATTTAGTAGGAGAAGCATGTCTAGATAATATTCCTCATTATACATAATGAGTCTCAATACCATGAACTAATTTCCTAACACTTGTATCTACTGTTTTGTGCTTGACATTAACCAGCCAACTTCCTACTTATACTGAATTTTTTTTGCCATCATTATAGGTTTGATATCTGCATTCTATATCTTGCCTATATGCTATAGGTAAAAATGAGATATAGCAGAAACAGTAGCTATTTAAGGAGTTTGGCAAAATGCTTTTTTAATTGCTTTGTTTGCTTGCCTAAGTAGCCCTTACTGTGTGGTTCCAAATTCCTGAAAGTTTAGGAGGCCATCATTTCTGGCTCTATTCATTTTTATATTATTGGGTGATAGCCCTGTAATATAGATTTTTTTATATGTCAAGTATATGCTGCTGTGCTGAGCTTCACTTATATCTTGAATTTTAAAATTTGAAAGAGGGTATCACTCTGATTCCCAGGAAAGCATGTATTTATGACATTAATACTGCCTGGGCATTCTGAGTCAGTTAATTGCAGGTGCATGAACTTATTCTGATTTGTTATGCTTGATTTGATTTTTTTAAATCAATATGACTATTTTATATGTCTTCATGGATATTCATTACCTGGGTACCTGATCATCAAGGTGATCTAAAGATCTCAGTATTCCTCATCATAAAACAATGGAAAGTTGTGATCCCCATGTAAGTACTGGAAAATGTGTCCAGCTCCATTCAAGACCAGCAAGAACTCTGAATTACTCTACCTTCTCTCCATCTCTTTGTTGATTATTCATGACAAACATGTATATTTCTAGTGTTTTCATCTGTGCATTTTAACTGCTTTACACATGAAGTTCCTTTCTACAAAATGTTATTAGACTTACAGTTTAAATTATACACTTCAGATATCTGGAAAATGAATATAGAACTGGAGTGAATGGAAAATTATTTAGAAGAACTTCAATAAAAGCCTTTCAGTTCTTTCTATCCCATTTGTTTGTTTCACTGATTTTTACACTGGAGACAGTGTCTTAATGAGTACTTCCACCTGTCCTGGACCTGATTGATTGCATAGACTTGACTGGCATTCAACTTAGAGACAAATATACCCACCTCTGTTTTCTGGGTGTTGTGTTTAAAGGCACAATACAACAATACACCCAGGGTGTACATATTACTTTTTTTGTGTGGTCTGTAACTCTTCATACAATTTTCTCATGCATACTATATGGTGTTGATCTTTTTTGTTGTCTCTTCCTCTCAATAGACCTTGCTCTTATGACAGAGTTGACTCTGCTCTTCAATTTCCCTCTATAGTGACTGTCTATGACATGGCATACGAGTAAGGAACACCAGAATCATCTATCTATACCCTGAAAAAAGTATGCATTTCCATCTTTGTCACTGTGGTGCTTTCCATTTTACACATGTGTGGTGTATTTTAGAAGGCAGTGACCTATGATGATGTGCACATCAACTTCACCCGGGAAGAGTGGGATTTGCTGAATCCTTCCCAGAAGAATCTCTATAAGGATGTAATGCTGGAAATGTACAAGAACCTCATTTCTATAGGTAAAAATGAATTTCCTTCATGTTTCAAAATGTGGAAACAACTTTTCCATGGTTGAGGATATTGTTCTGCAATTTGATTTAAAAAGAAGAATGAGGAGAATACAGCAGTCATATTTCTTAGGTGCACTTAAGATAATAAGCTAAATATTGCACATTGTTAAATGATACAACATATATTCTGGTCCTGTATTTTAGGATGCATTTGGGAAGACCATAACACTGAAGAACATTGGCAATGTTCTAGAAGACATGCAAGGTAATTTTCAAGTGAAAATTGATAACAATGTGCCTCTGATGAGACTGCACTTTCTCCTAGAACTTTTAAATAAAAGCAGCAATGCAAATAAGCACAGCTTTAAGTGCGTAGATGGTTATTAAATACTCACAAATCCATATACCTCAATTTCATGTATATGAATTATTCTTCCTTTCCTATGTGTATCAGACACTACACTTGATATAAGCTTATGAGCATAGAGACATGGAAAGATTAAACATACCTCTCCTTAAGAACAAAAAGAAGATAGGCAGTAGTTTCCACATAGAGTATACTTGTAAAATTTGATTCAAGTATACAATACTGATGGTTTTCTACACTCATTATTAATATAAAAACGTTACAAAAATGCCCAATGAAATCTAAGTATGTGCCAATACTTCTGAATGTCCTAGTTCACTTAGCAAAGGATATAAGACACACAGTATAGTAAAATTTATGAATGCAGTAAAGTTGGTAAAGCTCTCAGTGTATTCAGTTGTCTTCAAAAGTGTGAATAATATCATATAAAAATATTTTTGTAAATGTGAAAAGGTAAACCATGAAACAAAGGAATTTATCATCATACTTATTTTCCTAGATGCAAACTGACCCCAACTTAAAAAGCAAACATGATTTTAAACAGAGTTATGAAACCTTAATAACTAATTCCTATTTAGAATCGGAACAAGTTACAAAATAAATTCATACAGATATAAGGTTCAACAGTGTATTGAATGTGGTAAAGCTTTTAAATGTGTCAATTATCCTTGCATGATTGAAAGAAGCCAAAATGGTGAGAAGAAACTTTCAGTATATACTCAATGTGTTAAAGCCTTTTCTGATGACACCCACTTTCTAAAGAATGAAAAAACACATACTGGAGAAAAATGGTCTAAAATTAAGCAGTGTGGGAAAGCCTCTCCTTATCACAGTTATATTCAAGTGCTTAAAAGAAAACACACTGGAAATAAACCCTATGAATATAGTCAAGGTGATAAAGACTTTGTTCTTTTTGAAACTCATCAAAGTCATAAAAGAACACATACTGGAGAGAAACCTTATGAATGCAATCAGTGTGGTAAGGCCTATGCATGTCAAACTGAACTTCAAAAGCATAAAAGAATACATACTGGAGAGAAACCCTATGAATGTAATCAGTGTGGTAAGGCCTTTGCACAAAACAGTCATCTACAAAGTCATAAAAGAACACATACTGGAGAGAAACCCTATGAATGTAATCAGTGTGGTAAGGCCTTTGCACGTCACAGTGATCTTCAAAGGCATAAAAGAACACATACTGGAGAAAAACCTCATGAATGTAATCAGTGTGGTAAGGCCTTTGCATGGCACAGTCATCTTCAAGTGCATAAAAGAATACATACTGGAGAGAAACCTTATAAATGTAATCAGTGTGGTAAGGCCTTTGCTGAAAACAGTACTCTTCAAAAGCATAAAAAAACACATACTGGAGAGAAACCTTATGAATGTAATCAGTGTGGTAAGGCCTTTGCTGAAAACTGTACTCTTCAAATGCATAAAAGAATACATACCGGAGAGAAACCCTATGAATGTAACCAGTGTGGTAAGACCTTTGCAGCTCACAGTACTCTTCAAAAGCATAAAAAAACACATACTGATGAGAAACCTTATGAATGTAATCAGTGTGGTAAGGCCTTTGCGTATCAAAATAGTCTTCAATTGCATAAATAACACATACTGGAGAGAAACCCTATGAATGTAATCAGTGTGGTAAGGCCTTTGCACGTCATAGTAATCTTCAAGAGCATAAATGAACACATACTGGAGAGAAACCCTATGAATGTAATCATTGTGTTAAGGCATTTGCACGTCACAGTCATCTTCAAGTGCATAAAAGAACACATACTGGAGAAAAACCTTATGAATGTAATCAGTGTGGTAAGGCCTTTGCAAAACACAGTCATCTTCAATCGTACAAAGAATCACAGAGTAGAGAGAACCCCTATGAATGTAATCCGTGTGGTTTGGTCTTTGAAGACCACTGTACTATTCAAGGATAAGAGATCACACAGTGTAGGGAAACTTTTTGAATGTATATCAATGTAAGGAAGACTTTTCACATCTTATTCATTTTCAAATGCATAAAAGAACACAGTCTGGAGAGATAATTGTCAATTGAATCTGTGGTAAATCCTTTGTCACAATCATCTGCAAATACATAAAATAAACCATCCTTTAGAAAAGCTCTATAAATTTAATTTGGTATTCTTTTTTTTTGTTAAAAATATTTATTTATTTATTTATTATGTATACAATATTCTGTCTGTGTGCATGCCTGCAGGCCAGCAGAGGGCACCAGACCCCATTATAGATGGTTGTGAGCCACCATGTGGTTGCTGGGAATTGAACTCAGGACCTTTGGAATGCTCTTAACCTCTGAGCCATCTCTCCAGCCCCTAATTTGGTATTCTTTAAACCATGAGAAAAATCATACTATAGTAATACTCTATATGTGAATTTAGTATTTTAATGTTTTGTACCTCATACTTTTGTGTGTAATCAATCTGATAAAGCTTATGCATATTACCCTAATCATTTGTACCTATGGAAGAAACTGAGGGCTTATTCTAACTTATTTTTTAAAGATCTTAAGCCAACACACACAGTCAACCAACATCGGTTATTGTGTAGAAAAAATGGATAGTGTAAAAATCTGTTCAAGCACTATGATATCTCTTTTTATTTTGTTTGAACCAGCAAACTAATGGGCATAACCTTTTTTGTAGCCTTAGGAGTAGGAGAAAGGGCAAGTCAAAGAAACACACCTTGGACCTGAAAGCAGAGCCAAAGGAAAGCACTTTTTCTCTGAATCTAGAACTAGTTAAAGAAAGAACATCTCCCTGAAAACAGCCCAAATATTAAAAAGTGCCAGTGAAAGAAATACACTCTCAAAATACAACCAAATAATAAAGCCCCACATTCCACCCTTCTCCAAGTGAGCACTAAAGTAATGAATCCTTCAGTATGAAATCCTGCCCATCTCTGATATTGCTCATGATCAAAGATTAAAGTTTAACAAATTCCCTCATTCAAAATCTCCTTTGATGCCCCCTGATCCTAAGAAGCCATAGATGAGCCATATGCCAATTCAATATGCACCTGTCCTATTCAACACTGGTGGGGGTATTTATACTCCTGATTTCTTCCCTTTCAAATAAGAGGGCAGTAGAGCATGCGCATGCTCACGTGGGCATTTGTGTGAAGACATTCTTTCACTGGAATGCTTCAAAAACTTCTCGAGTTGTGCTGACATACAATTGTTACTTCTGTTTGGAAACCCTTATGAGAATTAAGCTCATCTCAGATGTGATGGATCACTTTTAACTTTTTTGGACACAATCAAAGATTTTTTGTTTCACATCCCTGCAGCTCTTTAACTGCAAGAAGACAATTATTTGCTGCTGCCCCATTTGCATGAGCATGTCTCTCTGTAGGATCTCTACCCATGTGAGCATGCACGTGCACCCCTGCCCTCTGCAGGAGCTGCTGGCAGGCTCTGGGCCAGAGAACAACAAAGGAAGGTGATCAGTGTCTTGCTTCTCTTTGGGAAGCTTTCCTTTTGGGACCCAAAGTTCTTGCACTGATCCAATAAAAATTCACAGGAGGCTAAAGTCAGAGGCTGCCTGTCTCAACTCTTTCAGGATATAAAGGGTGAATAGACAAAAATGTACAGTTATGACAGACAAGCAGGTGTAATGGCGTAAGCGAATGCAGACAGATTGTAAAAATATATATACAGCTTTAATGGAGAAATAGACTTACAGAACCACCGTTCCCACGGAGACCAGGAAAGCAGAAACAGTGGCTGGGAGCATGCTCACCAAATTTATAGGCAAACATTAGCCCGAGGCGAACACGCCCCCTAAGGGGCAGGACTTATCCCTCCATCTCCCCTTTTTGTCTAAATAAGACAGAACTAAACCAAATATAACTATATACAATAATAACAAATAATAAATATAACAAACAATATTGAGAACAAAAGTTTTGCTAACATTCTATCTCAAGTAGTCTAAATAATGTAGAAAGTACCTAAAATTATATAATCTTAAACTCCGTCAAAGATCTGAAAAGGGAATAACTATTACATAACAAACGAGATATATCCAAAATGTGCAACAATTGACAGAGACAACTGACTACCTGGGCAATCACCCAAAGTCTCGTTTGCAATGTTGAGTCAACCAACTTTGGCTAAGGTCTAACATAACTGACATACCATTATTAAAGGCAAGGAACTTTTCAAAACTATCTTACCCTGTCTTGGCAGGATATGACAGTCCTGTTTTGTCCAGTGATGCATGCTCTGTATCTCTGTCAGTGGATGAGGTATGGGCATTTCTTTGCCCAAAGGCCAGTTCTGCCAAATAGGAAGGCTCCAGGTGGAGTGTCTTTGGTGCTCAACATTCTCTCGGGACTAGAGCGGTGTTGCCAGGAGCAATTGTGTCTCACTATCACGAAACTCTGAGTTAGATTAAATGCCATTTTCTACAGCTCTTTGAAGAGGTTGAGAATTATCTATCTATACTGAGTATAATCTCTATATATCTAGAGAACCTGATTAGTCTAATTATAAATGACAAACTTTGATGACTATTTATCTATATAATTCTCAATATCTATCTAAATTAAAGACTAAGACAATAAACAACTGTGTAACAAATGAGGATAATGACCTCCAAATATAAACACTGTACAAATATACATTGCAATATGGTAAATATATATCAATACACAAACATTATATAAGTATCTTAATCCGAGGTAGAAATGTACATTGCAATATGGTAAATATATTCAATATATATTTATCAATACAATATATGTCAATACGTAAAAAATGTTTTAGAGATAGAAACATGCATGCACATAATGGTCAGTATAATTTAACTTTGTATCAATATACAAGAATCAATACCAATATATTTGTCTAAAAGCAATAACTCACAATGATAAAATCTATTATCCCATCATTCCCCCCCTTTTTTTTTCAAAATGATCCCTGAACTTATAAATTTCCTCCCCCAACCTCCCAACCCCTAAATGATGTCCCTAAACCTAGGGGCAAACTTTACTGGGAGAGGGGACGTTGTCCTCTAGAATTACTTCCAGCTGTCATGGGGGCGACGTTCTTTCTGAGGGATCCTGTGAAAGTAAAATGATGGTTAAATTTCAAGATCAATGTCTTTTAAAATTGCAAATAGTATTTTGTGGAGGTCTGGCCAGAATGTTGTACAAGATGTGCACCATTTCAGCTAACCAAGTTGGGATCGTCTTGTGCAGCTGGTATCCAAAACAGGTCTTGTAGTAGCACTATCAGTATCATGATGTCATATCAACCAGGTAGAGTTGTTGTTCTGGGGCCCCATGTTCTTCCTGGAGACTTCAAATGTCACTTCAGGAAAACCTCATTGTTCATTGTGAAAAACTTAAACATTAATCATATATATATATATATATATATATATTCAATGAAAGGTATGATATATATGTTCAATGAAAAGTATGATGGATATGAAGAAAAGCAAAGATGTTTTCTAAACTCATATTTCTTTCTGTCCCATATCATGGCTCTTGACATGAGACAGAAACTCCAGAAACTCTGGGTTTTTCTCTTACCAAGAGGCTTGGAATTGGAGAGGGACTGAGCCAGAGTCCAACTTCAAAACCAGCTCTACATATTTATAAAGAAATGTTTAATAAGACATATATATATATATATATAAATTAATACTTACAAAATGTGTCCAACCATCAATAATTAATTATTCAGGGTCCCTTAATTTCTTTGAAGATGAGTATTTTCCTGTGGAGATAAGAAAAGAACCCTTCCTCCAACCTATCTGTATTTCTTACCATCAGTATGCTCACCATCCTTATGAAAGAATTGTTATTTATCTTTTCCAAGTGGCTTCTCTTCTTCAAACTGAACCTTTATAAATTTTGACGGTATCCACAATTTTTCCTCACCTGTGGAGATAAGAGCAAAACCCCTTCCCCAACACAGCACATCTCCTGGATTCCATTGTGAGGTCAGTACATCCTTGAAATAAACTGGTTGATTTAGTTCAGTAGACTTTTCCATTATCCAATGTCTTTCTGCAGCCATTGTTCCCTTCTCATTAGCGTTGAGAAAATTCAAGGTTAACAAAGCATTATGTAACCTATTTCTGGGGGTGTTTTCCACCCCTTTCTGTTTGTTCAACATATCCTTTATAGTTCGATTTGATCTTTCTATGACTGCTTGACCTGTAGGATTGTATGGTATACCTGTAACATGCTCGATATTGTAATAATCAAAAAACCATTTCATTTTCCTAGAGACATAAGCAGGACCATTATCCGTCTTTATTTGTGTAGGTATACCCATGATAGCCATGACTTCTAATAAATGAGTGATTACTGAATCAGCTTTTTCTGAACTTAAAGCAGTTGCCCACTGAAAGCCTGAATAAGTGTCAATGGTGTGATGAACATACTTCAATTTGCCAAATTCTGCAAAGTGGAACACATCCATCTGCCAGATTTCATTCCTATGGGTGCCCTTCGGATTAGCCCCTGCAGGCAGTGGCGTTTGGTTATAGAAAGAGCAGATTGCATTTCTTTACAATCTCCTTAGCTTGTTGCCATGTAATAGAAAACTCTTTCTTCAAATCTTTGCTATTAACATGATGTTTTTTATGAAATTCAGAGGCTTGTAGCACACTACCAATCAATAATTGATCAGTTTCGGCATTACCTTGTGCTAGAGGACCTGGCAGACCCATATGGGATCGGATGTGTGTTATGTACATAGGGCAAAGCCTGTGCCTGCTAGTT